ACAACTTAAACCCTAACTACCTCTGTTGAAATATAGGAAAACAATGTTCGATTTGAACCAACTGATATATATGCCTAGTAGTAAGTAGTCTTAAGTACAGTAGTACAGTGGACCCCCGGTTAACGAACTTTTTTCATTCCAGAAGTATGTTCAGGTGCCAGTACTGACCGAATTTTTTCCCATAAGGAATATTGTGAAGTAGATTAGTCCATTTCAGACCCCCAAACATACACGTACAAACGCACTTACATAAATACACTTACATAATTGGTCGCATTTGGAGGTGATCGTTAAGCGGGGGTCCACTGTATTAGGTTTAGTCTGCCCGAAATGCCCTGGCATGATAGTGGCTTTCTTGTACTTAGCAAATCAAAATTGTAATTACACATTGTAAACTACGCAAAGAGGTATCCTTAATTGGCAAGATTGCCGATGTGTAAAGTGTATCATTAGTGTAAGTATGGCGAGCACTAAATCCATAGGATTATACAGTGCATGTGAGGTGGAGAGAGGGATGGAAGGTATTCAGGCTCAATTCAGGATACTGGAGCACAGATACAATTCCCTAGATCAAGAGCCCCTCACTAGCATCAAGGAACCTTCCTTGAGAGGAGGGGGGTCATTAGTATTGAGGTGCAGTATAGTATAGAGGTGCAGTATTCTAGCCCTGAGAAGTGACAGTGCTAGAATACTGCACCTCTATACTAATGACCCCCCTCCCCTCAAGGGAGGTACCTTAACCCTCAAACTATCCACACGTAGATATATGTTGACGTACGGCAGGCTCCGAATGTAGATCTACTTTTTTTTTACATGCTTTCAAATGGGGAAAATCAAGGTCGGAGCGCTACACACGTGAACGTAGATCTACGTTTGGACAGTTTAACACTCTAGGGTGGATAGAGTATCTCAATATAAATTGAATGAACCCATATAAATGTTATTCTAATGGTTAGTTTTCGAGCAATTGCTAATCTGCAACGACAGACTGTACTCGCCCCTTCCCGAAATAGGGAGTATAAATGTGAATGTTGCAAACTTGCAATTGTTAATAAAACACCCAATAACTATTTTTTAAATTTATTATACAAACAGACAATATGAAAAACATAAATAGAACTTGTATCAAGACATTTTGTAAGTATTAGAAAAATATAAAATGAAACAAATAGCAACATGGACACATTGCAAAGGTATAAAGCTTTCAAGTCCTATATTCCTGAGATTCATGAGGAAGAGCAATTATTCTATATTACTAATTGCTAGAATGGAAGTCTATGAAGCAATTTTTATCTTCTTTATTGCACAGATTACTTTGCATCAGAACAGTGGTATGAGGATGTGACAGATTTCTTCGAGTTGCTGCAATACTTGCAACTAAGCGGCTTCTTCCCTGCCACTGGCAAGTGGTTTTAGAGCTCTGTCAAGCCTAACACTGTCATGGGCCTTTCTGCACGTTGGCCCTGCAGAGCTTTCACTATGCTGACACCATTGGAAGTACTTGGTGAGCTCTTGCAGATGCTCTTAGGGTGCTGCCTCTAAACTTTTGTCCTTTAGACCTTGCAGTGACAGAGATATCATTCCTGAAATACTTCAATGCCATGCACTTGGTATTTAGTGCTCGACAATCACGGCAGTAAAGAAGCCATGCATTCACAACAGAAAGATCAAGAACATAGGCAAACAGCCGCATGTACCAACGTTTAGATTTCATTGGTGTTTTGTACAGATGCACCAACATGTTACTTTTGTCAATACTTCCCATGTTTGCATTATAGTTCTTGATGACTGCAGGGCACTGGAAGTGGGTTTTGGTCTTTGTATCCTTGTTATATCTTTCAACAAGACTCACAGGATTGACCCCTACATCACTTGTCACTAAAGTCACAACTTTGTTATACTTCCATCTTACAACAAGGACACCATCATTGTTTTTGAAGCTAAAATTGCCCCTGTCCACACTTTTCTTTTCCATTTGTTTGACAGACATCAGTTCTGGCTTACCACATCTATTTTCACGTACTGTTCCAGTGTATCTGCAGTTATACTTATCTCTTAGTAGCTTGACCAAAGGTAGACTTGAAAAGAAATTGTCAGCATAGATTGCTGATGTGTTGGTCTTGTTTATAGTTGCTGCAAGTACCAGAACAATCTTTGTACTTATTGGTAGTTTAGTTTCTTCCTGTTGAAGCTTTATGGGATGGCTGTCAAAAGTTGGTGTGCCTTGATACATGAGTATATCATGTATGATTCCATCTTCACTTGCACGACAAAACAGTTTGAAACCCCACTTGTCTGGTTTGGTTTTGATGTACTGTCTTAGGTTTCCAGCAGTTTCACCCTTGAAACCAACCATAACTTCATCAATAGACTGCCTGGGTGTAGCTGGAACTTTCACGCAAGCATTAGTTAGTGCAGTGTAAAGAGGCCTTATTTTGTGGAATCTGTCATTATCCTTTTGTGTGTTGTCATTGAAATGAATTGTACGTCTAAGTAACCCAAACCTCTTAGACCCCATGACTTCTGCAACCTGGGGCAGCCTAAATGAACTTTTCCAATAGTCTTCGAGTGATGGTAATGGAGCAATAATCATGAACAACAAAATACCTATGAACCTCATAATCTCTTCAGAATCTGTTGCAAAATCAGTAAGTTTGGTTTTTCGTTTGGCATACAAATTTGTTTGATATGCTATGTTATCTACCATGTCTGGAGTAAAGAAATCACAAAAATACTCATATGGAGACCTAATTTCAAGAGGCTTTTCATGTTCATATACAGGCAAAGGGTCATTTTTGAGGTCAACCTGGAACCATCGAGGTTGACCTTGAAGAACAAGATCATCATAAATGTGTTCTTCATCAGGGTACTCCTCAATCGTAATACCTTTCTTTTTCTTGACTAATTTCTGCGTTTTGGCTGGCCTTTCTTCCTCCTCATCATCACTTGACATCAACACATCCAGTGACAAGTATTCATCGCCACTGTCAAGCAATTCTAGGTCGCCAACCTCCAGTTCTGAGTCACTGTCCTCCAATATACAGACATATTTTGACCTGGTGCTGGAGGGCTCCCCATAAAACAATTTCTCATTGATCTGGAAGGACAATAAAAACATTCTGTATACATCCAGATCACTACAGAATTCATACAAGCAATAGAAATTTTTTTATATATATTTATTTTACCGAAAATGAAGTATGTCACTAAAAGGGCAGAGGCGAAAATTTTCGCCCTTCCTTTGTTACAGTTTTTTCAACTTCACGTTACTCTCACATTATACTTCACATGGACTTTATGTATATATCAAAATATGCCTAAACTATTCATGTACGCAGTAAACACAACAATCAGTACTTACCGACATTGTAGAGAGTAAAATCCAAGAGTATGTTAGTGTCAGTAGATGGAAAAAACCTGCCCTGGGCGACGCCAAGCCACAAGTATTTACATGTTGTCTCGGCCAATGGGAAGCCAGTAAACACCATCGCCAGCCACTCAGGGAAGGCTTGTGATTGGTCAGAAGTGAGGGGCCATCTTTATCATTCCCTTCACCTTTATTTTTCACCCGATTTCTTTTATTTTTGGTGTACGTTTAGAAATGCATATGTAAATTAATATGACAAAGTTTCAGTATAATTGGCCAACATACAACACAGAAAAAATTATTTATTGATTTTGACATACGGCAGCATGACATGACAAATTGGCACTCCGAGTGCCACTTCCGACAATCCCAACTGTTAGAATATGTCTAACACGACTTTTTCGTGTATCCATTTCATCTAATATATCTTATTATCATGGTAAAAAAAATACATTTCGAAGGCTTTTTTGGCATTCACCAAAATATCTGCCTTTTACCCCCCACAAAATCAAAAATATTTGAGATATTCCAAAAAACAAAAGTTTAAAAAGTCAAACTCACTTTGTTTTATATTGTCTGTGAAAAATTATTTCAATATAATCATTAATAATGGCGCAGTCACAAGTAATAATGGCTCAGTCACAAGTAGTAATGGCTCAGTCACAAGTAGTAATGGCTCAGTCACAAGCAATAATGGCTCAGTCACAAGCAATAATGGCTCAGTCACAAGCAATAATGGCTCAGTCACAAGTAATAATAGCTCAGTCACAAGCAATAATGGCGCAGACTAGCTAATTACGGCTGTATAGCCCTTGTGGCTTAGCGCTTTTTTTTTATTATAATAATAATAATAATAATAGCTAATTACGTCAAGAAATTGACAAAAATCACGAAAATCGTGCTATTTTGGGCATTTTTATGCATTGTAATTAATTTCTTATTGTTTCCCCTGTATGGTACACCGTTTTCTGTAGTGCTACCAGAGGTAACATAGAAAACCTGTCTCTTTTGGGACGAACTAATGTAATCTTTTTCATCGACGTCAGCCACCACCTCCAGGTATAATATACAAATAATATTATTTTGGCTGGCTTTCTTATGCGTTTATCCAAGTTATCTTATGCATAATATCATTATTAAATAAATGATATAAGCAGAAAAAGGATATTAGTAATAATAGCGTCAGTATAAGTTTAAGACATCTTGTGATTGATCAAACTGTTGTCATCGGTAACGGGTTGTTGCACCATCATGCAAGCTCCTCCCACCTCTGATAAAAGCTCCTCCAACCTCTGCAATAAGCTCCTCCCATTTCTGCTATAAGCTCCTCCCACCTCTGATGTAAGCTCCTCCCACCTCTGCTATAAGTTCCTCCCACCTCTAATATAAGCTCCTCCCACCTCTGATATATGCTCCTCCCACCTCTGCTATAAGCTCCTCCCACCTCTGATATAAGTTCCTCCCACCTCTGATACAAGCTCCTCCCACCTCTGATGTAAGCTCCTCCCACTGCTATAAGTTCCTCCCACCTCTGATATAAGCTCCTCCCACCTCTGATAAGCTCCTCCCACCTCTGCTATAAGCTCCTCCCACCTCTGATATAAGCTCCTCCCACCTGTGATATAAGCTCCTCCCACCTGTGATATAAGCTTCTCCCACCTCTTATATAAGCTCCTCCCACTGATGTAAGCTCCTCCCACCTCTGATGTAAGCTCCTCCCACCTCTGATATAAGCTTCTCCCACCTCTGATATAAGCTCCTCCCACTGATGTAAGCTCCTCCCACCTCTGATGAAAGCTCCTCCCACCTCTGTTATAAGCTCCTCCCACCTCTGATATAAGCTCCTCCCACTGATGTAAGCTCCTCCCACCTCTGATATAAGCTCCTCCCACCTCTGATATAGAAAATTAAGAAACAAACAAAAAATACATAAAAAATTCACCTCGCAATCATGCATATATTTACCTGGCAGGTCGTCACCTGACATATTTACCTGGTAGGTCATCACCTGACATATTTACCTGGCAGGTCGTCACCTGACATATTTACCTGGTAGGTCATCACCTGACATATATTTACCTGGCAGGTCGTCACCTGACATTTACCTGGTAGGTCATCACCTGACATATATTTACCTGGCAGGTCGTCACCTGACATATATTTACCTGGCAGGTCGTCACCTGACATATATTTACCTGGCAGGTCGTCACCTGACATATTTACCTGGTAGGTCATCACCTGACATATATTTACCTGGCAGGTCGTCACCTGACATATTTACCTGGTAGGTCATCACCTGACATATATTTACCTGGCAGGTCGTCACCTGACATATTTACCTGGTAGGTCATCACCTGACATATTTACCTGGCAGGTCGTCACCTGACATATTTACCTGGTAGGTCATCACCTGACATATATTTACCTGCAGGTGTCACCTGACATATTTACCTGGGAGGTCACC